AAAAAAAAAATGCAAAAAAGAAATTGTGGAAGTTGTTGAAAGTTTTTGGTTCGGGGATTATGACGTCATCCACCCCGTTATCATATCACTCACAACATTCCAAATAACTTCCTAACATCTCTTGTTACAATTCAAAATAAAACTTCCCAGAAGAAGCTAAGACCTGCTCCAACTCCCCATAGCTATACAAATACATTGGAATGCACATCTGGACGTTAGCCTTTATAATTGCATAATAAACAGGCCATGTAACACGCGCAAGCACGCGCCCCGCCGTGCGCTAATCAAGCGAGCGCTCACGAGTCGAGCTGACCGATGCCTGACCCAAGCACCTCCCTAGAGCACAGTGGGGTATGTCAGCGTTCACACTAGACCTAGACCGATAGAGACCGATTTAGGTATTGATTAGAACCGGTCCGTGTGTATCCCGTGTGAACAGTAAGATATCGCATGAGTTTTCTCTATTCTAAGGTCCATGTGATGTCAACCTTTGCCAAATCCTCCGTGGGGAGGTTTTGTTCTCACGTGTCGTCTTCTGTGGAAAAAGCTGTATTTTTTGTTTCGATGAGGCTTGGTGCACGTGTGTCCATTTAAGCCTCGATAAAATATAAGTGTTCAGCCTTTGCTATAGAATTGTTAATGAAAGAAGAAAGAACATACCGCGAAGTCCCCGTGATAAAGAATACTTGTAAAAAATGATAATGACGAGGAAAACCAAGACTTTAAACACCACAGATGGACTTAAGGTTAGCGACACATATTTTAAACTACATGTAGCTGCCAACCTTGTCCAGTGTCATTTCATCCCCCTCTCGCAAAATCTTCATAGGCTGAAAAGTTTGGAAAAATGTAAAACTACCTCATTAAATCTTAAACGATGGTCTATTTGCGATATGTTCCCAGTACATAATTTAGAGGGTTGGAGATACGGCATCAAAATCCGTCGATTTTTAGGTAACCCAAATTTCTCGATTTTACAAAACTTGTCAATAAAACAATGTTTTCCATTACCATAGCAACACGTATTTTTCAGAAGAAGGAATTCTCGTTTGAAGGATGTGACATCAAGGCCTTTTCCCTGTACACACAGGAAGGAGATCGACATGAAAATCCTTGACTTAGCTGGTGTCAGTGGGTGAGATTGCGGTAGGTGTGACAGTGAACGTGGTCACATCTAGCACAATCACTGACAGGGAGTAGCCAACTGCTGCATTTCCTTTGCGCTAAGATGGTGAAGCCCCAAATAATTTCGTTATTTGTGCTTGGTGCAATATTTTAAATTTTGCTTTTTTTCTTTTAAAAATTATTTTAAAACTTTTTTCTTTTAAAAATTCTTCACAACACGCAATGGAAATATTTTATCATGTTTCAATATCAATAAAAAATTCACTTCACATTCCGAAATTCATTCTACATGTGTATCAGATCCTCTCCCCTCAGTGACACCATGTTGACTCTATCTTCTCAACACAATGGTAATGTAATCTGATTATTTCTAGAAATAGAAAAGATGCCATTTACGAGACCAATGTAGCCTGTATGTGCATAATTATAACAAATCAATAACTTTCGATTATCGAATCAATACCTTAATGCTATACACTCCATAGACAAGTAGCATACTTTATTGATCTTCCCCAAAACGTATATCCATACACACTGTAAACTATCCTACGCTTGTTGTTGGCCGCTTAGCGTATAGGGCTTCTTGTATCGATTATCGAATCTAAACAAAAGGTGATACGCAGCACTGCTGTGTTGTATGGGGTCGGTTGCTACAATGATATAAACAGCTTAGCTCTGCTGTCAGGCGACAAGGCAAATAATCGGTTCACTTGGTCTGTAGTTTAGGGACGTTTTGGGTGATGACAAAGGAAAGACTACAGTATGTTAAGGAAAAGTTGTGAAAGATGAAATAAATCTCTTAAACAGCACAACTAAGGTGAGTGTTTATAAGTAACGAGAGTTAATTAAGTCTCTATCCAAGGCTTTATTCTGTCTTCTGGTCACTCTGGATTGGGGTTGGATTCCGAGGCACAAAGATGGCGGATCAGAACAATTAGTGACCGGAACGTTCTCTGGCAGTTGACAGGAAAAGTGTTGACAGGGAATTATGGCTGCTCTTGGATATTTGTTTGCTAATTATTTCACAAGTTATTAGACGCCAGTTAAGGAATAGACGCTGACTAGAGTAGAAACAAATAACAAACTCGCTGCTGGTTATTGTCGCAAGGATATTGCGTTGCTGTGGATAAGACTTATAACTAGGTGTAACATCTACCATTGGGTAAAGCCTAGGTCCCAACCGAACGTAAAGGCTGCTAGGTGTGGTCTACGGCCAAAAAATTGGGGAAAACGTGGGAGTTCGTGAGTGAGGAGCACGTCCATCGTGCGACTTTTGGAGGACGCAAACAGCACGTAGAAACTTTTCACCAATTACTCGATTCTTTCCCTGCGGTCCAGCTACATCCTAACCGTGCGTCCAAAACCTCGTTGGGACCTAGGCTTTTATGCGTTAAACACGTGAATATGGAAAAAAATCACTGATAAACAAATCCGTCCTAGAGTACAGTTGCCGTTTTGCAGTTGAATCTAACACGTGTGTGATGCAGTGTTCTCCATTTTTCTCAATCTTGGTCAACTCCGCTAATTGGGACAGAGGCAGGCATAATGCATGGGTAGGCCTGTAAATACTACTACACCGTACACTAGATGTTAAAACTTTTTTGGACATGTTTCTGAATATTAGGTATACTACAGAAAGACCTCCTTCAATTACCTTTTCAAAGATTAGATAAATATTATTATTATTATTATTATTATTTATGTTTCCAGACACTAACAGATAACCATCACGTGACTATCACGTGGTCATCAATCATGGCGAACCTTACCACCACCTCAATGGCCGACAACCTCACAACCCTGTCCAGCAATCTCACAATGACCACGGACGGTTTGACCACGTCAGAGGTGACTACAATGATAGCGTCTGCCCTGACCACTATGACGTCAGCAGTCCAGACCACCACACAGGAAGTGACGACAACAGTGGCCTCGGACCTCCCTGATTGGATGGCGTGGTTTCAACCGGCCTATGATTGGATGATGGCAGACAAGAAGGCCAACCTGGCCAACTACGTCATCATCCCGCTGTTTTGTTTCGTCTACATCGGGGCGGCGCTGGTGTATGTGATTGGGCTGATTTTGTTTGAGCTTCGGTACGTAAGGAAATATTGTTATTTTGTAAACGGAAATACAGCCCTGGAATGGGTTAGAGAGGGTTCCGGGGTGGTGGTGGTGGGGGGTGGTGGTGGTGGGGGGTGGGGGTAGGGGGTCAGGCTAGACTGAGTTCTGAAGTATAGGAAACGTTACTATTTAATTGAATCTTCTCTTAAAAAGGGCAGATAACATTACATTGCGATACAATATATATTAATAATTTTAAAACAAACCATACAATGAGCTTGCCATTTTATAACTCTTTTACATATATACCGGAAGTTTGTTGTTAAATGTGAAAACCAATATGAGTCATGAAGAAGTGTTCATGTCTGCAAATTAACTTTAATCATAAAATGAAATTATGTCACCCTTATTATCTGAAGTTCATCGAAGCATTATTGTCATCTTTGTAGATTTGTGATCAAGGCCTGGAAGAGGAAGAACGCAGGACTGCCGCCACCGAAAAAGAAAAAGAAGAAAAAACTCAATTTTCTCCAGAAGAGAAAACTAAAAGAAAAGGAGGAAAGGGAGAAGAAACAGGCAGAATACTTAAAGACGCTAGAAGATGAGCGCAATAGACTGGCCGAACTTGCCTTAAAACTGAAACAAAATAAACGCAAGCGTGTGGACCAGGCGCACGTGGAGGGATGTCTTAAGAAATATTTCAGTGCATTTAGTAAACCATATGATGAGATGGAAAGCCGTCCTCGGTCAAACTCCTGGTCACATCCATCGCAGAAAGATACCCCAGTCAGCATAGCCAAGTTAAAGGAGCCAATCATGCCCAAACCGAAACCGAAACCGAAACCGATCCGACCGGAGAGCGCCATTGACCAAGACGCGTTCAATATGAGGTCCGCCTTCAGGTCGGCGTCCAAGAGACGCGACAAGGAAGTGAAGCTTGGTCTGCGTCCGCCGTCTGCAGCGGGACGGAATTCTCGAATGAGCGCCAGATCTCGTGCGGGCGCGAGACCACAAGATAACAGAAGAAAGCCAGACCCAGCCCTGGCGTCCATACTCGAAGAACATCCTCTACCGCTGGCTCTTACCAAGAATTACAGACGCAAGGTAGCAGACACGGTTATACCCGAAGATATCGAGATAAAGATAAAGAAAGCGTTCGACAACAAGCCGCCCCCAGCAGAGCACCCCCTGCAGAGTCAGGCTACGGTACACGACCCCAAACAAGACAAACTGAAAGCGAAACTGGAAGCGATTAAGAAAAAGCGTCAAGAAAGAAAGGAGGCGGAAAGATGGCAAAATAGAAGGAATATAACTGATAAAATGAACCCCTGAGTTTATTATTATTATTATTATTTCTTTTTTCGTCACCATTTTTGACAATTGTTTCGGTGAACATTATTACAACTCAGCAATTTTGAGGAAATGTACCATTGTTGTATAACTGTGTGTTGGGAACAATATCTTTTAAATATCAGACTATAAAAGGAAGGGAACTTATACCATACACCCAGGACGGGATTTAAATCTCATGGTGCCCTAAGCACTCCCAGCTCCTCTGTACCCCCCCCCCCCCCAAACCGTAACAGGGGACTTGCGGAAAACGTGACTTCAACATACAAACATGCTTCTCATTCTCGTTCCGGGTTTTTATCCTTTTTCTCTGTTGTCCCAAGATATATATTTTCATAAACCTTGTTTCCTTTTTTATATAATTTCTTTTACACTCTGACATTGGACTCGTTTTGTCACGCTGCCCTAAGCAGTGCTTAATTTGCTTATACATGAATCCAGCCCAGTAGATAGCACATTGTACCTTGGATACACACAAATATTTGAGCTTTGTACATGAACTGGCTATAACAATAAACGTTATACCGTTAAATAAATGAACATTTACGTTGAGGGCTTGTGCACACATATGAAAATGTCGTGAGGTTTTTGTTCCAGTGTTGGTGCGGTTACTTCACATTTTAAAAGAAAAAAAAAAAGGATTTGTGAGCCTCACATTCATACATTCTCTGTGGGTGTGGTTGAACATAGTTGTTAATATTTCGTTCACAAGATTTAAGCTCCACGTCTTTTTTAAGTTACGTTATTTATTTATTTACATATTTATAGTTCAGCCGCTGTTCTAGATACAGTGTGGTTAAAAGTACGTGTCGGTGTCTGACGTACGATCTTTGAAAACATTGTACAGCATGCAGAACTCGGGCAATGTGGGATCCGATATCTACTTGAGTTCCGTGAACATCCAGTCCAAGCAATAATCATTTTAATTTCAAGAAAAACACAAAAGATCGCTCCATAACATTTATTCGAGATGAGGATTATTCCAGTTATGAGGTGTTGAGTTATAGAGAAGTTATTGCATCTCAGAAGAAATAATTGTGTCGAACGGCAGTATCGATTATCCGAATATATGAGCACAAACATAATTTAAATTATTTAAACCAATCAATATGGCGGTGGAGTCTTGAAAAGAATGAAAACAATAGTAAACGATTTTCGATGTTGAGCGCGATGTGTTGAATGTGTGGGGGTTACGAAGGGTAGGGCGGGTTTCTTGATACTAACGAGAAGATTTTCATATTTTCCTTCAGACTTGCATGTCAGTTAACGTCGTCAATAATAATAATAATAATAATAATAATAATAATAATAATAATACAGACTTGACATTTAATATGGAATATTTTTTCCAAAGCATAATTCATTACTTTTTTCCTGTTTTGCTGACTGATAAATGAAAATAAGGATTGAAATCGTGTTTTAATAACTTTTAATAATCTCTTTGATGTCATTGTGATGTCAGTTCATTAATTGAATTCGCCAGTGAAGCAAACAAAAATACATTGCCTATTCTAAGTCATACGACAACTATTGAAAGCGATATTTTGGATCTCCATATTTTCCAAATTATTGTCTTTAAAAGAGTTACACGCCCCACAAAGGACCCTCATGTCAGTGTCTAGTCACAGCAACAGTTGCTGTTATACCTGACTTCATCTGGCCGCTACCAGAGCTTTCAAGCGGCAAGGCATTCCTTGGGATAGGTTTTTAGAGTTTAGTCTGAAATAAAATTCCAGGCAACGGTCAGAACTTGTTCAATTTGGTTCCGTTTTGTTGTAGGGCATACAGGCCGTTGATTCGGCGAGTAATGACCTACCCACATATTGTCTATGTGATTAAAAAATGGCGATTTTGATGACCAAGGTAACTGCTCATTCCCTTGGTTCTGTAAGTTACCTGCTATTTAAAGTGCTCTGTGTGAACCAGCAATCTCATCGTGCAACCTAAAATTGTTCCTAAGGTGCCCCCTATCAAATGAAAACACATTAATTTCCAGATTATTCCTTTATTTGATCTGGTTCAGGTTTTCACCGAGCACTACCATTGGTGTTTTGGGACCAATGTGCTATCCACTCCAAATACTAACGCTGTCAATGACCCTAGTCACTTTAGAAGCAGCACACACTCCGTCGAAGGCTTCTTCAGGATGTATGTAAACTCTGTTTTGACTAGTTGAGCGGCACAGGTGAAATCTGACCGCAGTGAAGAAAGCCTCGCAGTTTCAGTGTTCTACCCAGAAACGGCCATGGCTCCAATTCACTAGAGAATCAGACGACGCTGTTTTGCTGTTTACAGTGGCTTCCTCAGAGGTCGTCTGGTATCCTAACCTGCTGAAACCAGGTTGGTGTTCTCTAAGAGTCTTGAGAAACGCGTTTTGTTGACAATTTGCCCCTCATTCTGAACGGACTGGGTGGATTTTGTTTAGTTGCAGTAGCATATCTGGAAGGACAGTGAGTCCTGTACCCTGGTGGTAAGATTTTGATACAATGGGCGTGGCCTCTGTGTAGGTACATCAGATTTGGCATAACTCTCTTAAAATGTACGGACCATTCTGTGTGACACAGTAATCTGTCTGGCAATGTCTGTCTTTTTCGCTCCATTCTGGCATAAATTAACAATTTTGTAGAACATTGCTTAACTCATTTTACACACTGCAAAACCGACCGCTTGCATGCAAAAATATCAAATTCTTAGATGCAGTAGTTGCCGAAATATGGTTACTTCTTTGACAGAACCATGCTTCGCCAAAGCCAAGCTTTGGCCTTTCCAAAGGAGCACTACCCAAATAAATTACTGCATACTACACAATGCAACAGTACAACAGACATAGTAGTCAGTAAATTGTTAGCGACACACCTGACTAAATGCTTCTCTAGTCAGATATCTGATATGAGGTCTGAGTTTTTTAAAAAAAGAACGCATTTTTATCAAGGTTTACCTTAGAAACTTAAATATTCCATATTAAATGTCAAGTCTGTAATAATAATAATAATATAAAACCCAAGTTGATGAAAATCACGGACATAAATCAAATAAAAAAACTATCAAGGCTGCTTTTTACAGGAGTACAAGACATGTACGTGGCCTTATTTCATCAATAAAGGAACGCTTTCTTGACATCATCTTACATTACATCTGTGTGTTCCTTCACCCTGTTTCAAGAGCCAAAAGGCATTTCTAAAACAAATCTATTATTTTTCGACAAAGTGATTTTTCAGGGCTGGATCCAGGATTATTTGAAGGGGTGGTCGTTTTTTTTTAATGACAGACCTGGCCACTATATATTGGCGTCGGGTTCGGGGCCCGCCGAAGGGCCCTGAATTTTTTTGGTGTTTTGGAGAGCAAATGGTGCCATTTGGTACGGTTTAGAACTATGATTCAGCTAGTCAAACTTCTTATCTCTAGAGAGGAATATATAATAGTGTGGTTTTTTCCACAAATCTAAACCCGCCACTGTATGACGTGATGTTATGGCTGGAAAGCCACTGAATCAATTCCAGTTCAGTCGCTTTTATTGATATACCTACCCGAAGCGTTCCTATTAAGATAACTTAAGATTTTTTTTATTTTCATTTTGTTTTACACTGAGATTACGTTCGACCTCACCTGTGACGTCATAGAGTTCGAAGTGGTTCACACCTTGTCGGTTTTAGTTTTGAGTAGTCTTTGCCATTTCAAATGCCTGGGGTACTATATGGCCATACAAACAGTCTTGATAGGCAGGGGCCCAAAAAGGGAGGGGGCATAAAAACAAAATGTATGTTTAGGTAAAGCAATAGTGCCGAGGTTACTTAAAAAAAAAAAACTTCTTGCTGATAGAAGATAGGACTTGTTGATGAAAGGGCAGTATGACATCCATGATCTGTGGCGTAGCTGGTAAAACATAGAGATCAATGACTATCCCCGCCTAAGCATAATCTTAAAGACTTTTTAGTGAAGAGAAAGGACATATTATTGACGACGCAGATTTTATGATAATGACCAGCAATAAATTGTTCTCAAATCGATTATTTATTCTTAAGTATACCGTTTTTATGCAAAAGGTAATTTTCCTGGACCCACGATATATTCATTTTCGCGGCTTCCTGATTCCGGGGCCGGTGTGGCAGGATAGCACGTCCTAGTAACGCAAGTCCGTCCGGACACTAAGTCCTGGGAATGCAAGTCCNGTTAGTTATCTGATTATTATTATTACTTTTTTTTAGGAATGACAGTCTTTCGCTACAAAGTCTACCCTTGGCCCCATTGGTGTTGCGTTCGGGTTTGCTATTGGGCCTCCAAAATATTTGGTGCTTTGGAGGGCAAACTGTGCCATTTGCTACTGTTTAGAATTAAGACCCCATTCCCAGAGATTAGATCGATCTACTTTAGATCAACCTAACTGTCAGCCGAGCGGGCACGAAAGTTAATTACAACCTTACAGCTTGTAGTAGGCGGGACGGACATTTAAGCCGGATTATCTGACAGTAATCTAGTGAGACTCCCCACGGGGATAGATCGATCTAAAAGCTCTGGGAATACGCCCTAAGATTCAGCTAGTCAATATTATAATTACAAGAGGGATATATTGGTGTGTGTGTGTGTTTTCTGAAACCGAAGGGGGGGGGGGGTGAGTGCCCTCCCCCTGACCCCCTAAATGCGCCATTTTTTATCTTTGTGAAAAGTTTGATGCACGAATTTCCATTTTCACAAGTAGTACACCATTTGGCCAATAGGTGGAAGCACAATGCAGTGTAAGACAATCTGTTTCTCAATAGGTGGCGACTTGGTGTGCATTGAGTTCACTTGGTAATGTCTGTGACGCTTCCCGCACGAAAACGCAGTAGATGCTCCAGCGCAGTAGACTACTGCAATCATACTGCAAATATGCCTCAAATCTGCTTCGCATTGGGAGCTAATTAGCATATTTGAAACATACTTCTATCATGCTGCTAATCTACTGCATTAATGCTCCTCCTCTGTACAACCCTATGTAATTTTTGAAGTAGAATTGCAGTAGGGTATACTGCATTTCTACTGCAAATATGCTCCACACCACTACTGCGTTAATGCTTCTTTGCTACTTCGATACTACTGCATTTTCGTGCGGGTTGGGAGAGCAATTGGTGTTCATTACTGATAATTTTTGCAATTTTCCAGTACAATAACTGCGTGATAATTTCCCAATCTAAAAAAAGTAATCTTAGCAATCACTGATTGGGCCAATATTCTCAATTT